TTTATATTTTGTTTACTTGCATCTTGTAACCACTAACAGGTTCGTAGCAGATTTCTGAAAGGAATTTCTTTTAAGCTGTCGTTACGTTAGAGTAAAGGATTTTTATATTACTAATAAAAAATTACATGACAATCCTGGGCGACATAGAAGATTTATTTTTCATATATTTGAGAATTGTTTGCGAACCTACCCAGATTCTCAAATATATAAATAGATCACATATTTTCTCAGAAAATATGTGATCGAGGTCCTGCACCGGAAACCTTGTTAACTGTTTCCGGTTATTCATCCCAGAAGTGTAATAAAAGTGAATAATTACTTTCTTTCTCTACATAATTCTTGTATCTTGATATGTACTTTTTAATATATATATATTTTTCTTCTTTACATATAACTGTTTTAGTTATATGTAAAGAAGAAAAATATAGAGAAACTTCGAAAAAGTTCTTTCTAACTTTTTCGAAGTTTCTCTTTGTAATGCGTCCCATGTATATGCAATAAAAATTGTTTCTCTTATTATCCTTAAATAGCATTAAAAATGTTAGCAGCACGTCAATACAATTTTATAGAAAAATAAAATTCACAAGTTCCTATGGCCCTAGACCCATATCCTTTCATAATTTGGGCGACAGCTCGAACTGTTGAACCACTCGAAACCTTAGTGAACGAGACTGACATCAATGTTCGGGAAATCCAACTCAAAACGGATTGCGAAAGATTGTTGATTCGAATCCAATCTCTAAGATCATCCAACCTGGGAGTGGTGTTTTTTCTTTAATATTTTTCCACAAGACATTTATCAATATAGCGTAAACGCAAAATTGATAAAGATTATAATAACACATTATTATCAATCGAGAGTTTGAATATTTGTAAAAAAAATATATTTATTTCGGCTGTTGGGATGGATTGCCTGAACACTAATTAAAAGACTCTCACTAGAGTCGAGAGTAACAAGGGCTTGAAAAAATCGTCATACCTGTTGGGTCTCGGGTATCTCAATGGTTAGAGCAGTTGCCCGTCTTGCGAAAGGTTGTAGGTTCGAATCCTCTCGGAGTACCAGGGACTGCTGATATTTTAAACTTCTGTATATTTATGACTATGTTCAAATGTTTCATAAATACAAATTTTACGAAATAAATTAATATAAGAAATCATTAAAAAGTATGTAATTTAAAAGCTGAAGTACATCAAAAGGAGCTACTGTAACAGTTCGCCGTAACTTTATGAATAGACGTGAAGAGTTATGACAGCCTCTTACATTATGAGAGAAATGACTTCAAAAACGATATTGTTAAAAGAATTCATTGGTACTACATCAAAGAAAGCTTTTTCTTTCATGGCATTTCTAGTATTTCCCTATTGTACGTACGTATGTTCGAAGTTGATTGTTAAATATGTACTTATTTGAAGCCAATTTAAGAATTTCAATTATTTATTGTTAATGTTCAAAGCTTTATAAGTAACACAATTTATTTTAGTTATTTAAAATTTTATTAATAAGGCGTAATAAAAATATATTTACATGATTTACGTGCGTTTCAAATTGCTCATTGTTTTTATTAAATACCTTCCTAGTTTTCACTTGCGGTTTTGCCCGCATGGAATACGAGATATTAAAACTATAATTTTATTATAATGAAGAAAATACCTATGTCATAATAACTATGTGTATCTTTCAGCTAGATCCGTCCTTTATTAGCTTTTGAAGTAGGTTTTATTTCATTAATTCTCTATAAGTTAACGCGCTGCGTTCGATGACGAATTCTATAGTTGGTCGAATGTGTCTGTACATATGCATATTAATAGTTCAGTCAGTCCATCTGTCAGCCACCTCGACTTCTATAAACATCGTGATGGAGAATTAAAAGAACCGTATTATCCGCAAGATCAAGATTAGACCACGAATCAGTTGGAAGGACGATGTCAAGAGAGTTGCACGTTCCAAATGGACGGAAGGGGTCCAATGCCATCATGAGCTTAATGGAAAATTATGACAAATACAGTATAGCCAGTTTAAAGAAAAAGAAAATTATATATACACTATATTAGCTTACATATTCCATTGACAGTACTTTAATTCCTAGAGAACCAATTGGTGGGATAAAAAATAAACAGGCTAAGAATGATCCGTGAGCCAAATATCATCAAAAGGGGGTTATCTTGGGAAATACTTATCCGATTATGAAAATTCCGAGTTTTCTAAAATACCGGAGAGACTATAGTATATTTCTGATAATTAAATCAGCGATGTTTTAAATAACAGTAACATGCTAGGCGTTTGGTTTTGCCATCACAACATCGTGGGTACAGCACACAGTAGTTTGCCATTGAATCTGTCCTTGGTCTATTTCATTTGCGAGTAATTGCACTGCATCACGGCATACGAATGGCCTCCACCCCATGAGCTGTTGCCGTATTTTTAACCGGCAAGCCTTCCACTGGAGGTATACGTAATCCGATTATCGATTTGGCTGCTTATAAATTCTGAGGGTTGGGCTTATTTGACTTATTGCGCTGTAGATGGAGAGGCATTGCTAGAAAAGGTGAAAGCAATTCATATATTCAGTGTTTATATTTTTATGATCATAATCGAATAAAATATCTATTTTGTTATTTTATTCGATTATGAAGTCACGTTCCAATAAGACTTATCTGTATGACATAAAACAGGGAGAAAAAAGCAGCCCTTGCTGAGTTTCTTGCCGGTTCTTCTCAGTACAAGGTCTCCCGCAGTAAATTTGAGAACCGATGGCGTAGTTTTCGATATTCACAAGTGCTTGCCTGAATAAATGATGTTGAATTTGAATTATATCGTAAGTAGTCCTGTCTAAATTTCAGTTTACCTATTTCATAAAAAGCGATCTTTCAAATTTTCGAGATAAGTTTTTTATTTTTATTATTATTCTTTCCCAACATATAGAACTTTTTTTGAACTGCACACTTCTGAATTCAACATTAGTGATTTCAACGCTTCAACTAAAACCCTTTATGTCACAGTTCTTGTTACTAGATCACAAAACAATGTAATAAAAGCAGAAAGAACAAGGCCTCACCTGTTCACTAGACTAAAATCATTCGAAAATGTAGTATCGCGCCCCATCACTGCACTGCTTTAAGAAAATGTTAAAAGAATATTATTTATAACTTTAAGTATAATACGCTATCGTTTCCATCCTACATCTATTATATACTTATACTTCGTATAGGTACTGTTATATTTATTAATGTATTTTTTTTTTAATTTAAAAAGTTAAATCTTCAAAATAATCTTATCATCTACGTAAAAAATATTTTCTTTATACGAATGAAACACGTCTGTCTATTTTATTATCATTAACCACAATAATATTTCCTTCTCATGTTTCTCACGTACACGAAAGAGATAATGGCATAAGTTTTTTGATTTTTTTATTACTTTAACTAAAATTTCTTGACACTTTCACTTTTAAAATATTTTTCTATTTACCTAAATAGCTATGAGCGGACTTAACTATTCTCAAATTACAGAAGTACGGGTAATTTTGTAAGATTTTTATCTTCAAAATCTTATAAATCCTTTACCTTACTCTTGGTTACTTGCTAACCTTATTTTATTAATATTTATATTAATATTAGTATTTTTTTTTCACAATAATGTTGATATTTTGTATTTATTAATGATGCAAAATCAGCACAAAAATTAAAGTTATTAAATCATACATTGTTAAAATGTGTGCGCGGAAGGGGTGTATGAGCACAGTATTAAGTTTCTGTTACGGTTAGAAAAAAATATAGATCCTGACCTGAAAATCAGAACTTTAAAATTCATTGTCAATAAAAAATATAATGACTATTAAAATCGAGATTTAACAACTTCATACTTCATAATAGATATATGACCGTGCTCGTAGTAGAGTGCCAACCACCTGTCCGCCCAAATATCTCCTGAGGATGCTCCGTGGAGGAGTGAAACGCGTGTAGAGTAATTGGTGGTGTTTTGTCGCTTGTGCTCATGCATTTATTTGCAAGGCGGGCGCTGTATACGTATACAAACTCGACAACTTTTTTTATTTATAATGGGCTCGCTCTTTACCTCAATCTAGCCTATAAATGAGATCTACGGAACCTATTTACTCTTGCCTTAAATAGTTTTGGGTTATCTAGCACAGCGCTATCACAGCATAATATGTGACATATGAAATGAGAGTTATTGTGTTACTTTCGGGCATGTAACCACCCCTATAAGCTGAGGCTGAATAGTGTTGAATAGATAAAACTGTTTATTTTTTAACTTCACTCGACAGAAAATAATTTTCAAATATCGTTTGAAAGATTTCTCTAGCAGCTTCTAGTTACACATTATATTAGATTCAATGATATATTAGATTAATAGAAAAGTTGTGGTTATATTATGTAGGTCTATCTATTTCTCAAGATTTTTCAGTGTCCTGAGCCCCTTAACCTTTCCATTCCCGGAATGATGACTATTACTATGGGATTGAAGAATATTAAATACGTATTTATTTATTTTTTGTATTATCGATAAATTTCGGCGATACATTGAGTTGAAATATTACATGACGACCTTTGTACATTTTTACACACCTCAAATTTCCTTAAAAAAAATTAATTGAAATAAAAAATACATATTTAATACTTCTCTATTATCTGACTGACTAACTAAATATAATATCGATTTTTCACCCAGTCATCACCCATATTCCGGATGCGATTTGCTTAAAATGCGGTTTTCCGCTGCGGAAGCAAAGAAAAATCTATTTTACTATTGTATTGTAACGGACAAAATTAATAATCAGAAACAAGAACTGAGAGAGGTGTCACGACATATTTACTAGGCTATTTCTTTTACGCGTGTCACCACGCAACCGGGTATGCGGTTGTCTTGTTTCATCCCTAATGTCACGCGCACGAGAACGCTTAGTAAGATCATATGTTTTGGTTCAGGTGATGCATCAACGATGAGTCGCCGCGCGCGGCCGTGACATGGGAGCGCAGGCATGGGCTGGCGCGCCGTGCATCCGCCGCACATCGCCGCCGGCTTACTCCTGCTGCTGCTAGTCAACCTGCCAGGTGAACATTGACCATTCGTCGAACTGCCTACTCGAGTAACTCGCACGACGGTATCAAGGCGACGCCGTCTCTGAACTAAAATTATTTTTTCTATTTATATTCTGGTGCAAATTTCCATAGTACTTAATTTTTGAATCAGTTTCTCTTTTAGACGAAGACCTAAACAACAAAACTTGTTTTGAGTGTACTATATATTGATATTGTTACGACTTAGTGTTCGGAATAAAAATCAACGCTACTAAAATTACATATAAATTCAAAAACAAAAACCAAACTTCTTCGACACAATTCAGGTAATTACTCTCGCCTCACAACTCTATTCGATAGTCCCGATGGTTCACTTCGAGTTTTTCTTCTGATCGCTCCCGTATTCAGTTCACTATTTACTGAAAGAATACCGAATCGGGTAGTACACCCCTTATTTATAGAGGTATAATGCTGAGTCGGGTAGTACACCCCTTATTTATAGAGGTATATACCACATCTAGAATGTCTTAGGTTGGTCTCACCCTTGCCGATGTATTCGAGGCATTACCAAAAAATTTTTAGAACGGCTACCCGTTTCTTTCTTTCTTAGTGACTTTTTCATGTACGCTATAACACTTATATGACACACGGAGTTTTGACGGTGTTAGCGCAATTCAAATAACAGGTAATGCCATCTAATAACGGGTAGATGAAGTATAGCGCCGCTTCGCTCCGTAACAATATATTAGTTTGACTCCGAACACTTCACGAAATATGTCCAATATTTTAGTGGATTACACTCTTTGAGAAACGCTGCTCTAAACTAAACTAAAACAATATAATTTTATGATAAATGTATATATTACATAATGTTCTTACTATGTAATATCAGTAGAACATAACATAAACTTCAAAATGAGTATCAAAAACACTGATCGCGTCATTGAAATTGTCCTATCAGTAACCTGCCATCAAGATCACCAAGATGCTGTGCACATCACAGCGATCCTCGGCGAGAGCGTGGTATTCAACTGCCAGGTGGACTTCCCCGAAGACATCCCGGTGCCGTACGTGTTGCAGTGGGAGAAGAAGGTAGGCGAAACGGTACGACGGCCAACACTCCACTCTTACAATACAACGCTGCTCATCTACCGTGTGTGTTTCTGTTCAGTAGAGTTCGGCTCGTCCCCGCGACGCGCCCGCAGACTGTAAAGTATATCTTGACGTGCGTTGTCAAGCGCACACCTTGTTGTCCCGTGCTAGTGGTAACAGTGCCGCGGGCCGAGGCACACCCTCGTCCCGCGCGCGCATCGCACGCCTTATGTGTATCTCTGCCTCTTCTAATATGCCTCGTATAACTACCGCGCCCGTCGTCCATATCGACCGGTCGACATTAACACCACAGTGACAAAGGCCTTCAAAACGAGTCCGAGAGAGCAGCAGACCCCCGTTAGAAACGAACATACACATACACAGCCACTGTACATTTACGATAAGATGTATAGTTATTATTTTTTTTATTATTTTGGATAATTAAGATTACTTTATTTTCTTTGAGTGCACCTCGTTTCTCCGTTAACATCGGGCGCACTATCGCTTACACAGCTGACAGGGGCACGCGCACTCCCTCGCGCACTGGCGGCGGTTCTGTCTGTTTCTCTCTTCCTGTGGCTGTGGGCTTCTCCCACGCTCTATCTGCAATTTAGTTTATATAATGCGATATATATGTATCTCATTTAATATAAGCCAAGTTTATAATTATTGCACATATAATATCCAAAGCATGATGTAGATTGTAGTATTTCTTTTTTATATTGCATGCAAGCATCTAAACTTTATCCTCCTCATTAAGCACTATAAACTAGTTATAATTACTATGACACGGTTCCTACTTCAAATTAAAGGCACCATAATAATCATCAATAAAACCTATCGACCTTATCATAAAATTCATTACCTGATTGATACATTTCTTACCCTCGCATGCTTTTGTAGAGATGCTAAATGTTTCAATCTTGTCATAGCAATTTTAGTTAAAAACTTGTTTTATTTTTTAGTTATTAGTTACAAACATTTGTTTATGAAAAATTGCTGTAACAAGATCTAGAATATATTGTTTACATCGTCGTGTTATCTGTGTGGAAGTCGTAGACGTCAGGATATGGTAGTGCCGAAACTTTACCAGGAACGAGGAGTAAGTTTCAAGTAGATAGAGGTCGTTTGTAAGCTGTAGTTAAAGGAACGACTTCAATAACATTGACTTCACGTACGCGAAACATTGATTTGAAAATAACAACGTTTAAGTTATTTGACTTTGCAGATTGATGGTCACTATTTACGTGGTCAATGTATATTGGAGTGTTATTTAGCGCCAGTGTCGATCAGATAGTCAAGTGTTTTGTTGACGGTAGGGACAGGACATCCCGATCTACATCTGGTACGAAAGCTACCCGACGCACAGTGGCGAGGGTTACGAGGGCAGAGTGTCGCGGGTCGCGCCCGATTCACCATATGGTGCAGCTAGCCTCAACCTCACCAATATTAGGGAGTCTGATCAGGTATGTAACTACAACTATAGAGTGATTTACTCGACTGTCACTTTTATAATATTTATTATTATGGTCAAACTGAATTTTTATCACAAAAAAATTACTGGTATTTTTTCACACATTCCTTCTAGACAGCTGATATTCTTCATATTAAACTCAACATCACTGGTTTTGATTGATCGAAAATAAATTCACTATTGAGAGCTGATAAGTTTTTATGGCCATTTGCTCATACAAACGACGTATTGAACGAATATTTTCGACTTGAAATTATATTTTTCTATTAATGTACACACGGCGGCATGTCAGTTTACCACAATATGACAAATTTCTGCACAGGATTTTGACCTTTACCTACAATGTATCAAAGTATACAATAGACTGGGAAAATATGACAGTGGTGTATAGTCTGACGTGCAAGTGCAACCTATGACCTACAGACTTTGAAAGTTGTATTTATTATTGTGATAATACATATTATTTTGGTAATGACATGATTTATGTAAATGTCATTACTTATGATAAAGAGCTGGTAAGTGTCTTTCTCTTGTTCTTCTTGTCAGCTAAAAAACGTCCTGACCAAGTGGTAGGGAAATATTTTTTTGGACGATTCAAAAGTGCTTCAATAAGCCTACTTGAACAAAGATATTTTCATTTCATTTCTAAAGAAAAACCTCTAATTTTTATTATTTGGTTTTCGATAACGCTTTTTTGTCACATGTAAGCTAAGAAATATCACTCCTATTATTTCAGTTGTTAACAAAATTGGTAAGCAGCTAGACAGGATTAGAATTTCTATAGTCTAGTTTATGCCTATAGAATTGCCGCCATTGTCACGTCAGACAAAGATTTAATAATACAAGCACTTCTTGATAATACTTGAACAATAATATTGCAATGGAATTTATTCTACAAATAGGGTTGGTACGAGTGTAAGGTGGTGTTCCTCAACCGATCTCCGAACCAACACAAAAACGGCACTTGGTTCCACCTCGATGTGCACGCCCCGCCACGCTTCTCCATCACACCGGAAGACATTATATACGTTAATTTAGGTAACATTATTTAAAAAAAAATCTTTAGAACCCTTATAGGATTACATGTTTGTCTAACTGTCCGACCATCTGTTACAGTTCATTTCATTAGCACCCTTACTTTCGAAGTATATGAACTTGAACTCAGATGAATGTGTAACGGATTCCAAAAATGAGCTCACTTTTATATAGCAAAAGTTAGCAGACTATATTTATAGTACGACATATCAAACGAAAGAGCTTGTTGATATAACCTGAAATGTGTGTTTTTTTACAGTTGATAAATTTTAAGATAATATAGCCTTTACGGATATTAGAGAAAGCCGAGCCCAAATTTTTGAATAATAACAGGCTGGTATTTGAAATTTTGTAATAAAATATTTGGGTGGGGTCTATATATTACAATAATTGATCTAATTGTTGATGCATATTTAATTAAAGATGCGTCGCATCTAGTCGGTTGCGGAACGACAATTCCGAACAATATATATGATATGACACTTGACATAAATTCCGCTCATTATTCTGTAAGACGCTTGACGGACCCTAATACTAAATATTTAATAATTTCCAGGAGATGCTATCATACTCAACTGTCAGGCAGAGGGCACGCCCACACCTGAGATCCTATGGTACAAAGATGCAAACCCCGTGGAGCCGTCGGGCACCGTGGGCATCTTCAACGACGGCACTGAGCTACGAATTAGCAACATCAGGCACGAAGACATCGGCGATTACACGTGTATCGCGCGCAACGGCGAGGGACAAGTATCGCACACGGCGCGAGTTATCATCGCTGGAGGCGCCGTCATCACGGTCAGTAACAGAATAACTGTACTTGGTGTTCAACATAACCTAACCTGCGTACTTCGGACTCATGGAAGTCTGCAAATATTCCGTTAAATATCCAGACATATAAGTTGTATTACTATTAAATTATTTGAAATTTATTGTTTGAATTTGTTTTTCCGTGGACCGATATAAATTACGAAACGCTGACTTAACTGAATCACACTCAACAGAATCAATTTTATTTCTATTAAAATATCTGTAAGAACTTGTGTGATTTGACCATATATCAATTAGCACTCCATAACTTACTACCAAATATTCAAAAACATTGATAATCTGTGATGCATTTGTCACTTCAAGTACCCTCCGGGGGGTGGAACCGGGGAACCGGCAAGGAGATTGCCAGGATCAGCCCCACTAGGTTATCCCTCCTATACCTCAATTAAGATGTTGCTGTATGTATATAAAAATTTCCTCTTATAGATGCCACCAACAAACCAAACAAAGCTAGAGGGGGAGAAGGTGCAATTTTCATGTGAAGCAAAAGCGTTGCCCGGCAACGTGACGGTAAAATGGTTTCGCGAGGGTGCGCCAGTAGCGGAGGTGGCGGCCTTAGAGACTCGCGTCACCATCAGACGTGACGGAGCGCTCGTCATCAACCCGGTGGCCGCGGACGACTCCGGTCAATATCTATGCGAAGTCTCCAACGGGATAGGAGACCCGCAGAGCGCGTCCGCTTACCTCAACGTTGAATGTTAGTATTATTCTGAGAGAGATCCAGGGTCTGTACTTATTATTTGTATAATACATATCATCATCAACCGTGTTACATCCCCACTACTGGGACTCGGACCTTCCTTACGGATGGTTAAAGAGGATAACCCTCTATGCTGACCCAATGCGGATTGGAGGGTATTTAACGGCTGCAAATGCAGCTGGGACCGACGTCTTAACGTGCCTTCCGAAGACCTATTTGTTTATGTCACGTTGCATGTTTTTTGGAATAAATTGTTTCCTTCTTCTTTCAGATCCAGCTAAAGTAACCTTCACGCCAACAGTACAGTACCTGCCATTTCGATTAGCAGGTGTAGTGCAATGTTACATAAAAGCAAATCCACCTCTTCAGTACGTAACGTGGACCAAAGACAAGAGGTTGTTGGAGCCTTATCAAACGAAGGATATTGTGATTATGAACAATGGATCGCTTTTATTCACACGCGTCAATCAGAATCATCAGGGTCGGTATACTTGCACGCCATACAATGCTCAGGGAACTCAAGGTTCTTCAGGTTAATATTGAAATGAAATATATTTCTTATGATATAAATAATTCTTGGATGAATATCTGGATCATGAAATCCTTTTTTTTTTATAGGTCCAATGGAAGTTCTTGTTAGAAAACCACCAGTGTTTACAGTAGAACCAGAGCCTCTGTATCAGCGAAAGGTAAAAAGTAGCAAAAAATAGAAATGTCATTCGCGAATATATTTAAGGGTTTATAATTAAGTCTTGTTAAGGTCGCCGATAGCTCAGTTGGAAGAGCAGTTAGTGAACCTTACGAATCGAGTCTGTCTATCAGACGAACTTGGCATTTATATCATCTTGACATCTATATATATCATCAAATATGTTCCTAAGTTAAAAACTCGAAAACGGCTGAACTGTTTCGGGCTAATTCTTTTTACAATATTCATGAAATTCTAGAAAGGTCTTCGTGAAGAAAAAAGGAGGGGTAATTGAGGAGGACAAAGTAGTATACACAAACTGTTGGGTATGAAGTTTGCTGGATCGACTAGTAGCTTATAAACTTATTATTTTCGTGTCAATCAAAATTGTGTCTAATTTTCTAGGTGGGAGAGTCGGTAGAAATGCATTGTGAAGCGCAAGAGGCGGAAGGTACGCAGCGTCCCAGCGTACAGTGGAGACGACGTGACGGTCTACCGTTGCAGAAGAATAGAGTGAGAGCAATGGGGGGCAATATCACTATAGATACGCTAAGACGACAGGACTTCGGAATCTACCAATGCGTCGCGTCCAACGAGGTGAGATTATGAAATTTAAAACTACTGACATATACAATAATACACTTTGGTGGTATATTTGGTGTGCATCATGCGTTGTTAAAAGAAGGAAAATGCAAAAAAGAAAATGTGTACTATTTCAAAAGTCTTATTGCCACCTTTATATTAGGTATCTCAGATTTCTTGAACACAGGAATCACGTCCGAAGAACTGTTTTCTTATGTAGATTGGTAAGATGTATGGCTTAACATGTCTTCAAAACACAGGGAAGCTCTATGAAGGTTATATTGTTTTGGAAACGCATTCTGTAACCAACCTTTCAGATTGAACACGTCGGTCACTAAGTCATAAAGCTCCTTTACAATGGATATTTTTGAATAAATAGTTTAGTATAATGTTGCTATCATTAGTTCTCGCCACCTACCGCTTAATTAAATCAATAATAAAAATCGCTGTTCTATCTTCTCTTTAATAATTATTACATAAAAAGCAAAGGAAAAATATTTGCATTTTAATTTTTGTTTGATAATAATTTTAACTAATATTCATAATTTTTGGTAAGAAAGAACTATTAATTCCCACCTTGTATGTACCCAAATCTCTATGTTTTGGTTTTAATGCATGCGTGTCTTATCATGTACCATTTTTATTCAATTCCAATTATGTTAAATTTTTCGGTACTTTTTGTCTGTAATTTAAATTTAAAGCACATTTAAATGACTGATACCGAACTAAATGAAAAAGAAATGAATGAAGCCTAGCAGATCCAGAATCTGTACATTTTGTTAGCTTAATTCTTATCATCTTCAGTCCTGTTCCACCATCATCATTCGTCCCTACTGCAAGGGCTCAGGCCTTCCTCATGGTTAAGGAGGATGAACCCTTCAAGCTTGCCCAATGCGGATTGGAGGGTATTAAAGACTGCAAATGCAGCAGTAACCAACGTGCCTTCCGAAGCACAGAGTAGCTCGAGATAATATTTTTTTGGTCACTCATATAATATATATAGTTGTATGAATAGCCCGGTGGCGTAGTGGTTAAGCGCCACGGCCCGCGATCGTTGTTGTTAAGCAACTTTCGCAAGGGTCGGTCACTGGATGGATGACTAAAAATTATTATCATGAGCTAATCCGTGCTTCGGAAGGCGTGTTAAGCCGTTGGTTGCGGCTGCAGTTGCAGTCGTTAATACCCTCCAATCCGCATTAGCCCAGCATGGAGGGTCATGGCCTATTCTCATTCAATATCCATAAGAAAGACCTGAGTCTGTGCAGTGAGGATGTTTAAAAACTGATGATAATGTATAAATGTCAGGTGGCGACTATAGTGGCGGACACGCAGCTAGTAATCGAAGGCACTCAGCCCCACGCTCCGTACAACGTGTCCGGCACGGCGACCGAGTTCCAGGTGACGCTCCGGTGGCACCCGGGGTACGCAGGCGGACCCGACTACAAGCAGGACTACACCATCTGGTACCGGGAGGCGGGCTTCTCCGAGTGGACTAAAGTACCGGTCACGCCGTCCGGCGCCACCACTGTTAGTACTCACCAACGTTAATGTCCCCATTGCTAGAGCAAAGTGTGGGGTATATTTATTCAGTCTACTAACGGTTGGGGGCTGATTGTTTTTGTGACTCGGCCACGGCTTCTTGGGTCTCATCACCCACGAGACAGTGCCCCTAAATTATATATTAATTATAATAAATAACCAATTATAGGTGGACACATTTTGCTTAGCAATAATTTACGATGTGACAATTTAAAATCCAATGACATAATATTAAAATTAACAAAAATAAAACTAAACAACAAAACTTCTCAGGAAAATATTAATGGAATGGCTAGCTATAATAAAAAATATATATCAAACATGCTATAACTTACTAAGCAGACCCAGGGTGAAATGGTGGGTGTTGACTACTGCAGATGCAGCAGGGACCACCGGCTTAATGTGCCTCAGAAACACGGAGGAAATCGAGATCATAAAATTTTGGCCACCCATCATATGACTGGCATACAAAAGTTGCTTTTAAACTCCAATAGCAGGAAAAAAATTTAGCATATAGGAAAAAAAATTAAATCTCGAACCGAGAGAAAACAAAATAGGTATATCGAGAAATCAAAAACCTAGTATATATTTACCTAAACTTATCCTAGATTAAAAAAATAGGAAGAGTCGTTCTCGTCACAAAAAAAATGTAAGTAATAAAAAGTCCAGGTGAACTACGAAGTGCCAATTGGTCGGTTCATTCGCCAATCTTCGCTCTGTCACCAATCAAACAGCGCCGGCATCATCATTTTGGATATCCACCTGACCTGAAACCGAACTTGAAACCACATAGACAGTAAGGACTTACAGATTGCGGAGACTGGTAAGAGCAAAGTTTACTGAAATCCCTTTTATATTACTACAGGTAACGATAAATCGCCTGCAGCCAGGAACCACGTACGAATTTCAAGTGAACAGCAAAAATACGATAGGGGAAGGAATGATGAGCAAAGCTATTACGATAAGAACCTTAGGTAAGAAATCAGCACTTTGAGCTTGCTTGTGCACTTAGAGGGTGACGGTCGTGTTTTTATGTGTGACTAACATCGGTAATAACAACCTACCACTGAAAAACACAAGAACATATATTTTTAACCATAAATACTCATATTGAATTTCAAATTAGTTTATTAATTTTCCAAATTTCAATAAAGAAAAATTTGACTTCTGTGTTACATTTTTACATAATTGTTTTATATATTTAATTAATCCTGAAATTCCCAGGATAATTCGGCCACAAACAGAACATGGAACAGAAGTTAGTTGATAACGAAAAGAACTTTAAATATTTATCAAGTTGATTGATAATTAAACAATTTCATATTAGGTTTCATTAACATTATTTACTTTTACTATATTTCACGAGTAAAATCCATCTTATCAACCAAATATTTGCCAATTTAGTTGTTCTAAGCCTTCTCCTCGAAGAGTACACTCTAAAGGGCTTACTGGGTATAGCAGCCGCATTTTCACCGACCGTGCGATTTTTTTTTTATCTGGGTCTTAATAAATACTAATAAACTTTCAGGTTGGAGGGTTGGTGTGCAAAAGCAGTAGTTGCTAACTGTATATTGCTTTTTGTAGATGTAGGCGCGAAGCCGAAGGCACCGCCGACTCCCCCGGGGCCGGTAGACGAAAAGATATTTAAGAACGCACCCGAAGGCTCTGGTATATAGTTTTGTACTTGCTTACTAACCTATACAAGGGCGGATCCACCGTTATGGGCTCGATGGGCATGCCCAAAACCCTAATAGAATTGTGACGTCACATTTCATTGTCTACTGAGGTCGATTGCCCACGTGGAACTATACAATACAATATACAAAATTTTGACAACGCATATATTTTGGTTAACCTTATCTTTGAGAATGAACTATTTTGCAAGGGATTCTTATCCTGACTAGTACTTATTTTCGGGTCACTTTGACCCTCAACCTTTTTTGACGCCTGGATTCGCCCATGTTCCTATAATTTACCTTTTGCCCGTTAGCTTTGTGTTTTCTATTAACATAATTTATTCTCACCTGCCTATCTAAACTAACCTGTGTAAGATAGTGAATTAATGACCATGGGTATTTTTAATTTTTGTAGCTAATGCATGAAGCGGAAAGAACTGTTAACTAATATTTATTTTATGGTGTAACTCTAACAATACATTTAATTAATGAAAAGTTGCAAAAACATGGTGATAATATAACAACATAAAGAGAGAGGTAGTTCCTATGAAAAAGTTTGTTGTATTTGTGAAAATGTTCTAATATAGAATTTGGTACTAGGTCCGAAATCTGGTCCGCCGAGGAATTTAACTGTAACAGAAGTGCACAACGGGTTTCTTATCACCTGGCAAGCGCCTCTAGAGAGGGCCAATCTCGTACAGTACTACACTATCAAATACCGCACTGACGCGCAATGGAAAACGCTAAACCGTGGCCAGATCCGCCCCGAGGAGACCAGCTACCTCGGTAAGTATCATTGCTTGCAAACATTGCCTGCAAAACCTTAACGACCTCCTTATTAACACTAATACAATACAATATTTAAAAAAGCAAATGATGACGCTTTTTAAAGTTACTCATATTTCCGAAGTACATAATGTAGGGTTACCATGATTGAAGGACAACTATTTAGTATAGCTTTAAACAGTTTGTATCTGGCACTATGAATGCATAAACTTGTCATATTAAACTGTCAATATAGGACGAATAAGACACAAAATAGTTTTGGTACTTATATATTTCGGTCACATGATCACGTCATATCTTACTGCATCTCAATATGATTTTTCTTTTTCAGTGAAAAACTTAGTCGGTGGCCGAACGTACTACTTTCGAGTATTAGCCAATTCAGCCACTAGTTACGAGAGTTCCGAAGAGGTGAAATTCCCTGTGCCGGCGCGCGTCAAACACAAGGCGATCACGGCGGGCGTCGTGGGCGGTATCCTGTTCTTCATCGTCGCTATCATCCTATCTGTGTGCGCGGTCAAAATATGCAACAAGCGCAAACGACGCAAACAAGAGAAAGGTGAGCGGTGTGAGCGGAACGACGCCGCCCGCTCCTGTGTGCTAGCTACGCTCGCTCAATTGTTACTTTTGAATCGGACGCTAAGCGTGTTTGATAACTTTGAACGTGGAAGCAACTGTGTTCTATTTATAAATCAAATCTTAAATAAATAAAAAAACTTAAAATATCCAAACACAAATATGCTAGAGACAGAGGAAGGTTACGATTAATATCCCGTTTCGAGCACCCGAGGAATTCACAAACTTGTATAATTCGACTTCCACATATTTTAAAGATAAATTATTCCAACTTTATTGAGTAAGCTTTTGAAAACACTTTCAAGTCTCAAATTTTACTCACCACCCATTCCGTAAGTCTCACTAGTCAAGTCAAAAGTCTCACCTCATACAAGTGATTTATGGTGATCTGCAATGCAACTAGTTTTTTTCATAATTATTTAAAACATCTTAAAAAATATATTTTTTTTA